GGCAGCTCTGTGGTGGCAGAAACCGTCTTCTAACCCTACATATCCACAGCTAGGAAATCAGGTCACAGCCTCTTTGTTTCAGTTGTTTTCATCAGACAGAGGAGAGAATCGGTTTACCTTTGACATGATGTCTTCCAGCTCGCTGCGGGCCTTGTAGGTGCCGTCGTCATAGCGGAAACGGTACAAGACCTGCTCGTTCTTGAACTGGTGTTTGTCTGACACTGAAAGATTAACAGAATAGAAAAATGAATTGGACTGTAGTTACTAAGAGACTATTATTATCACTCCATTAAAATCTCAATCCACAGCGTAAGGTTCCTGTGTCATGTGTTTGTTTGACTTGTAAATATGAAATGATGGCTGTTAGAGGCCTCTGGTTTTAATCAGTAGTTTGCCTGAAAGTGAGTCTTATTTCCTTTTTCCAGATGAATTATGGATGCAACTATAAATCTGAGTACTGGATACAAAAATGGGACATCAACTCTAGTTTGTGAGGAAACTCAAAGTAAGACAAAAAAGTTATTAGTAATGCAAAAATAGAATAATTTATTTGTATCTTCTACTGTTTTAGATTTTAGATCCAGATCTAGGCTTACATATTCTGATTCAAATCATTTTACATATTTAACTTCCTCAGGGTACAAACTATGCCAAACATTAGAAGGAAATCTGCAGTTGTAAAATCTGTATCTGAAGAAGAAACAATAATGTTGAAATATTCAACAAAGCAAACAGCTGCCAATTCTCATAAAGCCACAGCACGCCCAAAACAAGTTGCTTTTCACGAACCCTCCGCCGCAGTGAGACGGGAAAACGATCGGCGAGGACGCGACAGAAACAGAGGCAGATCGGTTCCACCACAACAAGCTGGCATCGACTCAAACAAGCTGCTGGTTTTGCCTCAGTCTAGACTTGAAATGCCCCCATAAAACCAAAGGAATGCACCAGAAAATGGGCTTTTGGAAAGTGTTAAACATGGGACTTATTGAGGACATGAAACCATCACTGGGTTGCCCCTGGAGCAGAGCAGACGTCAGAAGTGGAAACGTTGGTGTTCAAACACGTGTTTCAACAAGTCCAATGTGTAACTGAATGCAAAGATCAATGAAGCTGATTGTATTTTATTAATATTACAACATGTAAGGAGGATTCCTTTAAAGAAACCAACATGATAGTTTGATTTTGCCTGTAAGGCATGGATCTCTCGGCTATGAGGGGCCGTCAGTGAGAGTCTCTGGGGGTTTCCACAGGCTTTAGGGAACGTGAATGTTGGCTTTCAGCAAACTTTCCCCAGAGCGCCTAGTCTAAACTGTGACAGTGGATTATACTTAGAATGTGCCGCTCCAGTAACATCCTGGACAAATGAATTCATGCATTATTTATGCAACATAGTTGGGTGTAAATTTTCATTGTTGATGTAAAATTTAGTCTGGAGAACCCTAGTGTCAATAGTAGAAATAATGAGACAAAAACAAACAAACAGAGCAATTCAAAGGAAATTAAAATCCTGACTCAGGGAAACAATAAGAACTGAGTCTAATTAAAACAAACGGATCTCACACACACACACACACACACACACACACACACACACACACATGCACACACACACACAAAGAGAACCACAAGTGGCAAAAAAGTCAGAAGAAAAAAAGAAAGATTTTATGTAACAAGTAGGAAAGAAAGAAAAAAGTAAAAGGAAATAAAGTGAGAGAGAGAGAGAGAGAGAGAGAGACAGAAATAAAAACAAAGAGAAGAGAAGAATAGATCAACGTTACCGTGGTGAATGATGCCATTTTCCAGTAAGGCCTGTCCCAGGTTCACTCCCTCATCGGCGTTGCTGATCTCTCCGCTTTCAATCAGCCACGACACAAACTCACTGAGGGAGGAGAAGAGGAACCGATGAGGACAGCCGTCTTTAAACTGATCCTCCGCTTATCGTTTAATCACCAAAACTGCAAGGCTTCAAAACCGTGAAGTGGAGAAATGACTGGTTTGAATCTTTCAATACTAGAGATGTCAGTTCAGTGTCTGTCAACTGGAACAAACAGGAGAGAGAGTCTGCCTGGTTCGCCTGCAGCATCCCAATGTGTGACTTAAAACACATCAGATGCCGCCTGCAGCATTCAACTAATCAAGGGCCAAACGATGGGGGCCAAATGATGGAGGCCAAACAATGGGGCCCCTGAAGGGAGGTGTTTCTGTTCGGTCTGTGCTGTTTTCAGCTCTCCTGCCCCCTGACTCCTCAGCTGGCCCGCCTGCCTCCTGGGAAGCTTCGTGTTGACACTGCGGTGGAAGGTTATTTATACCCAGGGTGTTTTTCTCTTCCAAGAAGAGCAAAATGATTTCAGTGTTTTAGCTGAGACCACAGGTACAGGTGTGAAGCGTATTCTACAGATGAGCTCCTTCACAAAAATCCATCACTTTTGCCTGGAATCACGCAGGTCATCCGTATTGAAGCTCTCGTCTCTAAGGCAGTGTCTGCTAAACAAATGTTTGAGGGAGAAAATGAGTTTGTTCCTCCTTCGCCTCTCCTCATCTTCCTCAGATAATCAATCAGAGGGAATCTGAGAGACGATTTGTATTTATGGCTGCCATCAGTAATCCTGACAAAGAAACAACATTAGCCAAAAGGTGTCTGGGTGTTTGGATCTGCAGTTCAGATTGTGTTTTCTGATATGTTTTGATTTTAATGTTTGTATGAATGTGTTTTTCACTTTTTTAAAATGGTAATTGTTTTTAGTTGATTATATTATCTCTTAATCTCTTTTCATGCTCATTTCTGACTCAGGGGGTTTAACTGATGTTGACAGGAGGAATAACTTAACACCAGGGGGTTTGAGTGTGTGTACGTGTGTGTGTTATGTAAGAGCCAGGTTAATTTTGGACCCAGATGTAATGGGAGCAGATTTTATGAGCATGATGAGCCGAGTGAAGGAATGTGATGGGAGATGGAGGGATGAAGGCAGGGATAAAATAACATTTGATGATCCATCTTGTGTTAATTCATTCTGCTGAACCTGCAGGAAAAAACATATTTCCCTGGTACTTCTTGTTAGTGATCCTGATCAGAACTTCTCCAGGCTTTAATAAGCTTAAAAATAAGAAAAAGTGAAAAATGGTGAACAAAGGATATGTTAGACATTAAATATCTGTCTAAAGCTGTCAAACTATTTCAAAGACTTTAGAATTCATATCATTGGTGGTAAAGTTCCTTTGTCTGTAGAAAGGTCTCTCAGCAGCATTTTACACCATTTATCAGATCCAACTTGGACAAATTTTACTTAAGTTATTTTGAAAAGTTAAGGTTTTTTCCTGTCTTTAGCAACACAAAAATAAACATTTAATCTGCATATGTATCATGAAGCAACATGTTCTTAAGTTTTTTTGGCAGTTTTATAATCATATAAAGATTAGCACATTATGCACAGGAAGCATAAATAGAGATAATCCTGTAATCCCTTAATTTATGTTCAATTCAAAACTGCTAGCTCCACCAAAAACCTGCAATGATTTTTTTGCCCCTTATTGTTGTTTTTTTTTACATTTGACAAAATATGCCAAGTTAAAGTTGTATTTGTAGAGAGAACTAAGAATCAGTACTGGTCTTTAACTCTGATTGGTGCTCATCTAAAATATATATTTTATGACAGTTTTGCAATTAAACAGTCCCGAAACATTCAACTGTTTTTCTAAAATTTTCTGTTATGTGTCGGAACAACACTAGTTTTTGTTTGGATTTTCTGCTTTTTAATGTTTCCATGAGTCATAAGTCAGAGTTAGTTCCTCATCAAACCTAAAAAAAAAGCAATAAACTGTCAACTACAAGAGGAATAAAAGTTTGGGGAAAGCATTCAAAACATAAAGAAAAACTTCAAAAGTCAACTGCAAAGACCGAAGAGAATTATCAAGACAGCTTTAACACTGGAATTATAACGAAACCAGGCAAGATTTCAGACTTATAATAACTCATAGTAATTGTGTTTTTTCTGTAAGTTGGACAATATGCATGTTTTCAACTTTCTGAACTATTTCTCCATGTTTCCACACTAAATTGCCCAAGCTCCATTTGCTGTGTGCATCCAACCAGGACCAGAGCCTTTCTTTGAGGAGCTAATTTATCAACTAGAACTCACAGCCTTTACATTTAGCACGGAAGAGGGACAGACAGCAGGTAAGCTACCCCTTTAAGTCCCCCAGAGTAGTTTAAGTCACTAAATCATTTTAAAATCAGCCATTTATAAGTTTGGACAGCAGATAGTTGATGGGATCAGGCTACAAAGACAACCAGTGGCTATCCAACCAGCAGTCAGCCTCTTGTAATGAAATAAGTAGTGAAGCTGCATTTGTAATTTCATCACACAGACAAATGCAGAGATAATGAAGAGAGCACTCATCCACAGGACATGACAGCTGGAGACATGTGGGAGGAGCTTGATTGGTAAGAAACACTGAGCCAGGTAAAATAAAGTGGATCAGACTCATAAGGACAAGGACAGAAATTACACTGATGAGGTTCATCTGTAACTTAATGCTGTTCTGAGATGAGCTGAGAGGTTTGGTACAAAACATTACAGAGTATAGAGCATGATGCATGAATCAACCCAAAGCTGATTTTTTTTATCCATATCTGACTTTTTCACAGCAGTCTGAACAAGAGGTGTCCCGATCGATCGGCCACCGATCATAATCGGCCGATTTCTGTTAAAAAGTGTATGATCGGTGATCGCCGATCACGGTCTCTTGTTGCCGATCACACAAACCGATCATCACCTGCTTCTCATTTCGCAGCCTGCCTGTGCAGCTGGTCTCCTCTTTCCTTCACTGCGCAAACGCGCAGCAACAAATCCTAAGCGATGTGGAACTATGACGCACTGAGTGAATGGGGAAGTTTGCGTGTTGCGGCGGAAAATTGAAGCACGTCAAAATGCATCAACACAACGAAGCTAATACGACATAAAAACAATGCCATACTTGACGGAGTTTGGCTACATCGAGGCTCACTGCAGTAAAAAAAGACATACGGAGGATCAGACAGCAGGTAAAGCAGCGCACAGCTACAAACACTCACCCGGATTAGCATGACGGTCAGAAAGCTAAACAAATAACCCGCAAAATTATTTGTCTTCGTGCTGCGATGTAAGACTCTGGTTCTGCTCTCGCTGTTGAACCGCTGCTACGCTACAGGTAGTAATATTTGACAGAC